GCTTTAAATAATAATATAAGTTCATAAAAACACGTGGATCTCATAAATACAAATGTGTACTTTATATAGTATATAACTAAAATCATAATATGACATGTAATAATCTCCAGTAATTAGTCTTGTATTTATGGGAAACATGCATTAAAATTGATAGTTTTATAATTTAAAAAAAATAAGTAAAAATGTCCTTTACCGACCTTGTACAATATTCTCCTTTTAAATCCTCAGCCCCAACAAAAATCTGCATAAACTGGTTTATCAGGTAGACACTAGTAGTGTTAATCCATTTTTAAAATCACAAGATACAACAAACAAACACTATAGCCAATCACGAAATAAAACTAACACAAAAATATAATATTCACTTGTTCAATAATTTTAGCAAACACTAACTCAATAAATTTTAATAAAATACAGTTTAATAGGTACAACTTCTCTCAGTTTCTATTTACGTATCACAAAACCATGCCGAGCGTTTCAGCAAGAGGCGTACAGAGCAAGTCCGTTCCCGATGGTGCCGCATGCACAACTGACTTGGTGAGGGAGAGACCCGTCATGCGAAGGTCGATGTGTTAGACTCGTCTAGACATGCGGGAAAGAGCGAGAAGCAAAATGTTATGCTTCCATCTTTTGTTCCGTTTTAACATATTTCAGGTTTGGTGTGTCCGTCCGTCTATCAGTCGTACCACCTTAAGGAGGTCTTCCTATGTGACGGCCTGTTTTTAGGGATATTTTAGGATTTTTTTTCTACGACCAGTAAATATTTAGTTCTTCAAGTTTTTTATCATTTATTAACACATATTTGGACAGCATAAATATAAAATTTCAGCTAAAAATATTCAGTCAAACTAGAGTTATAGCGCTCTGAACAGCCCCGCCTCGAAAAAAAGAGCTCCTACTTTCTCCACGATTCCGGCTGATCAGCTTATCTGAAAAAAAACGGCGTTTTAATTTGTAGGCTTAAAAGCACGGAATGACCTATGATCAAATGAATATAAAAAAATTGGATTTTTGATAGACATTTGAAATAAAAGTTGCAAATTAGGCGTTTTTTTTTTGTTTTTTGCTATAAAAAAATCGAAGTTTTGAAAATTTTCGATTGATAATAGTTCATTCCATGCGTTTAAATATATTGAGTGTGCCCTGTAAATTTCAAGTAATTCGGTCCAGCCGTTTCTGAGATACAAATGGAGACACAAGTTTGAAAAACACAGTTTTGAGAAAAACGCGTTTAAAGTTTCTAACTGCCAACTCAGCGCTCCGAACCGCTCCTTCTTTTACCTGCTGTATCTTTAAAACGACTTCAAATTTTCTAAAATCGCTTCACTACCGTATTCTAGACATGTTAAGGGAGCAATTTATGAAAAAAATTGATTTTTTTCAACCCATCACATAGAAAGACTCCCTTAAAACATGCAAATTTTTGACATTTGCTAACATTTCAGCCAGCATGAAGTTGCTGCCGAAAGAGAAATAAGCTGTCAAGTTCAATAGTAATGGATTCATAACTTTGACAGCAAAAATCTGTCAAGATATTATTATAATTATTGTATTGTCTAGGGCCAAGATAATAGCTTAGGGATCGTTCAAGTATTACGTAAGCAGATTTATTAAAATTATTTACCCACCCATCCCCCTTGTCAGCAAAAGTAAGCAAAGCTCTTACCCCCTACCCCCATGCTTACGTATACATTTTGCAATTAATGTAAAAAAATAAAAATACTACCTATGACGTAATCATCATTCAGACTCCCCTGCCCCTCATTGATTTGCTTATTTTGGGTTGACATGGGGGACAGGGAAGTCTGGATGGTGATTACGTCATAGGTAGTATTTTTATTTTTTTACATTAATTGCAAAATGTTTACGTGAGCATGGGGGTAGGGGGTAAGAGCTTTGCTTACTTTTGCTGACAAGGGAGATGGAGGGGGGTAAATAATTGTAATAAATCTACTTACGTAATACTTGAACGATCCCTTTGCTGAGTTTTAATTTTGTTGTAGGTTTTATTTGAGTGTAGTTAGCTTCCACTGAATTAAAACTGGGACCATAGCTAAACTAAATAATTGTAAAGAAACATAGAAATTTGTACAAGTTTTGTTGGTGAAATGTCTGATTATATAATAATACGTATCTTCGAAACAACTGGACTTGCCTTTGCCAAAAATTAATGAGCATATCTCTCCATTAATACGAATCGAATGTTTTTTGAATTATTAAAATCGGTTGATTCGTGATTCCAAAATCGTCTATGGAACTCACACACATATATCATTTTTTTCTAATTTAAGGTATGCCAAAATGTTCGGAGACCTCTGAAACGAACAGATATGCAAACATTTTCATTCTTGATTTTTTGCGATCACTATAACTTACCCTACGGGAAGTTAAAAAATGCTTCTTGCATCTTCTTATATTATAAAATTTTTTGCGAACTAATTTAGGGGCCAACTCTCGTATAAAATAGAAATATTATGTTCGTCATTATCGTATGAGTTGGTAGTCACAAACTGTCAAAAAGTTATGTATTTGCTGTTCGATTGAGCATTTTACACAATATTAACTGTTAAAACCTAAACTCCGAATATCATCAAGGACTCAAGCGTTTTACTCCAAATCTACTTCTGAAACCTAACTTCCAAAAGGCACAAATGTCAAATTGCAATTTTTTCATAAGTGCAACTTTCTAACACTTTGTTAACACATACGAGAAGTCTAATCAAAGTTAATAATTTGACGTTTGTGCCTTTTGCTGTCCGCGAATGTGTTAATTATTATTTGTAGTGATTTTTTACTTTAGAATGTAGATGAATATATTTTTCTAAATCAAAAATACACATTTCCGCCATTGCTATATTTAAGTTAAAAATATATATTAGTTCTATTAAAATTATATTAGTAAAATAATATATCATAGATAGGTCAATCATTAGGTTGCTTTCTAGTTCAAAAGTATCGCAGTTCAAAAGTATCTTTATAACAACTCATAGGGCTTTTAAGTTGTGATTTCTGTTCAGAAAACAAAAGGAAACTTATTTACTATAAATAAATTGAAGCGAGTTTGCCAAAAATTGATCAATAAAATTCTCTATCGATATAATTTAACCCGTCAATTTTGGTTGACAATTTAGATTTAAAATTTAAGCGCACAATTCAATGAGCGCGCCAAAGTTAACTGGTTAAACAAACTTCAAATTTTATTTATTTAATGTGTGCAAGGTGCATAAAAAAATAAATCTGAACCAGTTAATTACGAAGAAACGATACCAGCCAATTTTTACTACAAAAGAGCATGATTCTCTGTAATGTTTCGAAAGTCTTTCAAAAACTAAAACGATTTTTTTTTTAATTTAACCGTTAAGTACCAACATCAGCTCGACTGATCATTGTCTATTGAGTAAACCTTTACATGTCGATACATGAGAAGTCATTTCAAATTATGCAATGCTGACCATTAAAAGAATATAACAAATTTATAACTAAATCAACTCTTTAATAACATACAACAATACAAGATAAATGTTTATGGCTGTGAAACATTTCTCTTAATATTACAATAGAAACAATTAATTAAATTAAATAGGAATGAGAAAATATATCACACATAACATAGAAACATAGGTGACATAGATAATAAAAACATATTCATCAATTATAATCGTTAAAATAAAAATAAAACATTACTTATTTGCAATCGCTCATAGTATAATTTCAGTTTGGAATTTATTTGGACTGCGGTATTAAGTTTCCAGTGAATAAATATAAATAATAATAAAATTGTAAATTATGTAGTTATTCAATGTTGCAAAAACTGCAAGGGCAACATAGAATATTCGAGTTTATTCATTGAACTATCAATAGGATATTCAAGCTGAATAAAATATCCTAATAATTATCCAATTTTCATGCAATGCTTATAAAGAGTACAGATATATGGCTGCATATTTGTACTCAATATTGCAAAAATGCTCACAATATTATTTTATTATTATTTATAATAGCGAAAGAGATAAAAAATTGTATGGATAATCATATGAGCTAATAAGTGATTAGCTCATATGTAGTGTAATTTGTTTAAATGTTTAATTATTCATACTTTTTCAGGAATTTGCCTGTTAGATGCATAATACGTTAGGCCGCATCGTAAAATACATCTTACAAATTATGAGCAAAAAATATGAACAAAGTCCACGCAAATTTTCCATACACTTTTTTTAAATTAACTTTTCTTAAATTTTGAACGTTATAAATTAAAAAAAAAATTAAATAGTTACTATTATACCATCAAAATCTCACAGTAAAAAATCAGAATTTGAATGCGTTCAACGATATTTTATGTATATGGGAAATAATTAATATACATATTTAATCAAAGTTATGATTAAATTATGTTATGAAAAATCTTTAAATAAGTATTGTTATTAATTGGTCACTATGAAACAAATATAATATTATTGTCTAACAACATCGTTACTTATCATGAATGTTTATATATGCTTATATATATATATATATATATATATATATATATATATATATTTAACGCATATCCATCATAAGTATATTAATATATCTAATACATATACGGCAACGTGTATAACACTGTCTTGAAATATTACACTTTAATACTATTTAATTATTTTAATTATTTATATATTATAACATATTTGAATAACGACAATGAGCAATAAAACTTCACAAATGCTCTGTTCCATTTAAACAGTTTTCTTTAAAAAATATCCTTTTTGATTGTCTATGTAGCAACATTACTTTTTAATGAGTATTCGGAAAATAAATTTAACTTATATTAATTCAATATATATAGTTATGTTGTAAAGGAATGATATAAATTATAGACATATATTATAGCAACATCCATTCGGTAACAAGATTAACGATATATTTTACGTATTTATTATTATTATTTGTTAATAGTTTTAAAATAAAATTATTGGTTATATAATATTTAGTAAAAAATTTCATGTTTGAGTCGTTAATGATACCTTAATAATACCTGCCAATTGCAATACATTGTTAAAGCTGCTTACTTACACAGTTTAAAAATAAATCTTATTATCTACTCACATTCAATTTTACTAGTCGAAGAGTAAAAATAATTTTAGCTTGAAAACCTTCTGCTCTCTGTTAGAAGTTCCTTTGAAACGTTGGCATTTGGGTTTCAAACCAACCATTCAGCTGATGTTTTAGATAAAGATAGAGTTTTAGGGGTCTCTATGATAGTTTGAGTGCCAACAGTGACCAGAAGGTTAATTTTGCCTCCTTTTGATTTCGAAATTTCACGTCACACCTGCGTACCTCCGCATAAGGTAGAGAGATTGATCGGTGCTCGTTCGGCTCTTAGAGCTTGGTTTGCCCTCTAGAAACCAGAAGCAAAGTTAGTCAAAATGTAAAGGTGTGTTTCTGATATATATTGAATGTATGTGCACTAAAACTCCGTTAAGACGATTTTTCAGGGACCCAATCGTATTATGGGGGCAGACGCAAAATAGCGTATTATTATGCTATCATATTAAAGAGTTCTACTGCATTTTATTACATATTCCATATTACAAGCCTTGGTCTATTATATACTTTTGAAAATATTACTATAAATCTATTCTTCAACACATACTCTTATATCAGTTCTTATATTGTTCTCAATATTCGATCATATCTTTCACATTGCCAAATTAAAAGATCTGATGTCAAGTTCAAATGGCAGAACAAAAATAATTGGAAAGATAAAACCTATAAATAATTATATATAAAAAGATGCAAAGCGTATAATGTAACTCTGTAAAAGATTTCAAATTCATATAAAATTTACTATAAATCAGCTTAATACTAAAAAGAAAGTTTAGAATATTTTGGTATTACTGTAAAACAAACTATATATTGAAATTTGTTAATATATCTACATTCTACATAGTAGAAATATATACATCTACCAATTAGTATTATTCCACAAAGTGATTAATACCATAATTCAGAATTGATTCCAGAATTTTTAAAAATATACTGTTTTAAATCAAACATAATTTTTTTTATTTATTTTACCTATATTTACATATTAGTTATGATTTTTTTACCCTAGTCGTAGATTAAGCCTAGAAAATCTAATACTAATAAATTACAGTACTCATATAAAAAATGAAAATTTTAAGAATTTATTATAAATTATCATATATGTATATTAAGGTGGACCTTAATATGGATATTTTCGAATTTCCTTGCTCCCAAGGGCTCAATGGTTTCAAATTGATAAACAATTCTCTGAAAGTTTTAGCTCTTAATATTTTCTTTTAGATAGTGCGCAATTCAATCAAACTTCGTATGGAAATACCATAGAAAAAATTTTGAAAATTGAAAAAAAATTTTTTTTAGGTATAACTTAGCGACAAATGAATTAAAATAAAAGTGAAAATTTGTGTTATTTTTCTATTGAAAATTTGACGCCCTGCACAATTTAAAAAAAAAAAATCATGCTATTTCCATACAAAACTTTGATTGAATTGCGCTCTATCTAAAAGACAATATCAAGAGCTAAAACTTTCAGAGAATTGTTTCTTATCAATTTGGAACCATTTGAGCCATTGGGAGCAAGGAAATTCGAAAATGTACATATTAAGGACCACCCTAATGTATAGATATATATTTCTTTTAATAGTGTGCATCAGTATTTACGATGTTAATGTATTACTGTAAGATTTATCTTTTTTAATTTTATAAAAATGTATTATAAAATCCATACGTTTTGGCTATAGTTCTAGTCTTCATTTTGTGAAAAATTGAATTTACTTGATTATTAAAAATAAAAAAAAATCACTATCAGTGGTATAAAACAGCAGTATATAATAAGAAAATTAATCTTGTGAATTCATGTAAATATTTTTCATAATTTAATCAATAGAACAAGTTTTACAAAAAATAAGGGAAATTTGTACACTCTCTGACAATATTAATTTTATTAATTTAATTTTTTTTTTAATTTTTAAAGCATTATCAGAACATGCAAGACATAATAAAATCCTTTTAGGACATTTTTTTGTTAAAAAATCATGTATTTACTAAGCATAATTTTCCTTTGGAAGTTTAAAAATACGCCTAAAAACTCGTATTAAGTAAATAATAAATTCTAAAAAATAAACGCTTTACTTCGCATTAGACACGATTGTACGAATGCATATTTCTTCATAAAATGAACATAACAGATATATTCTGATACCATAACATAAAAATCCCAAAGAATACCAATATATTTCAATTTTATTGTATGTAAGATTTCTCTATATGTCAAAATTTATCTCAATCACACTCAAATAAGGATAATCCTGTGTCTGGTACCTTAACCCAATTTCAACCCTTCTACTTTTTCAAGGAGATTTTCGGGGATTTAATTGTGTAGCAGGGTCAACGATAAAGCAATCTTATTTTTTGGGCATTCGATAGTATTTGGATATAAATTCACACGTAAACAACATACGTAAAAAATAATAATAATTGTGAACTCTCCCATTGTTTGCCATTCAAAAATGTCCTTAATATTAGTAAGATTATTTGTTAACCTTGTAAATTATTTATTACTATCATGTGTAGGTTATTTATGAGGTAATATTTTATATGTGACAAATTTACCTGTTTACAATTTCCTTTAGATATTGCTAATTTATAGGCAATATAACCTGGAATGCAAAGTATGGATGACAATGTCAGGGCCCAACCTACGTGAATAGACCATGGAGGGTAAACGTATCCAGTGGAAGCCAGCATTTCCTCGTAGCTGAGCAAGGAGAATATGAAAATTACCTGAAATGATATACAAAAACTTAAATATAATTTTTAATTAAATTTAATATAAAATAAGTACATATATACACGGCTGGCATATATTATTGAGCACTTTAAAAATATCTCGATACCTATATAAACCACACAATGATTTGTCTATTTACTAAACCCTAATAAGCATCTGGTAATCATCTTTAAAAACTATTAATGACAGTATTATTAAAGAAATGTATTTTATTGTTAAAAATAATAAATTGAATCCAAATTTTTTCAGGAAATTAACTTTCCTCGATTTTCAATTTTAAAAACTGTTTGAAAGATATGAGTCGGGAATTGTGTTCATTAGAAATTGATACAGTTCGAGATTAAGTTTTCTTTTTTTTGAATATTTTTAACAGCAGTCAGAACCTGACGTCCTATGAGCTGTTGGGCTGAAACTTCTTCTTACTTCGTATTTTTAGAAGGTAACCCAACGGTTAATCCATCCATATTTGATGATTTTTGTTATTAGAATTAATCTAGTAGGGCTGACTTTTTATTGGTGCAGCAATGTCTGGCAAGGGCTATTTTCACTTGGAAACATATTGCTATCTATATTTCCAAGTAAAAATCGTTGTCACTGCTGCCTGACAACATGTTGCTCGAAGCGCGTATCAAACCCGGGACCTCTGAAACAAGTCCCGTCGTTCTTAACCGCTTACCTACGGACGAGCCCTCGAGATTAAGTAAAGTTTTTTTTGATGATTTAGATGAAACTTATACTATTATATCATATATCATCGTATAAAAAAGTGAAAATTTATTCTGTTTTCATTCTTTTCCATTCACATGTGAAAATTTACCAAAAGGAAGATTGGACTGATGTAATTCCAGCAGACTCTCCAAAATAGTCCAGGCCTGTGTCCAGTCATTTTTTCAATATCAGACGAAAAGTTGTCCACTCCATATATCCAGCACACTCCTGCTGCTTCTACGAATACCACGAATAAGATTGCCAAACCTGGTCCATATACGTTGAGCAGATCAACAAGATACACTCCTCCCTAAATTAAATAATTAATAGATTAATGAAATAGCCATATTCAGATAAGTTATACAATTACTGATATTTTTGCATATTACTTAATTACCACAAATGTCCAATATAACATATAATACATATATATTGGTAACTGGGTATTTGTGTTTTTAGGGGGAGAGGGGGTTTGACAAAAAATCACGAAATATCACGTTGGGGAAGGAAGGTTATGCTAAGATATCACGTGTATTGTTATCTGAATTTCTATTTAAATCCAAAATAAAAAAAATCATTTTTTTTTCTCGGAACTAAAAATACACGTGATGTTTGATTGGGGAGGAGTGGTAATTTTGAATACCACCACATATCACCAAGGGGAGAGGGGGTCAAAAAATACTTTTAAAAAATCGATCACGTGATTAATGGACGTTTCCTAACTAGATGCAAGTCGCATTTTGCCACTAGTATCATCTTTTCAAATTGTGACTAAACTTTGCTGAATTTTTATTGTTGAACATGTTCTCGTAGGCCTATAATATTTTAAGATGTTTGGTTATACTTTAAGCTATTATAGTATCATAATATATCACCAGGCAAAGTTACATTTTTAAAACAATTCACGAAAAAACGCCATGGTCGATTATTACCAAAACTAATCAGCACGATTCTTAAATGGTATATTTTTAACAGTTTCTGAATTTTTGGGGTATTTTGGCAAAAACGTGGACGTAAAACTTCTTTGCTAATTATAACAGCTGTTTTTAATGATTTTAAATCGATAGATCGGTTGTTGAGAAAACTGTCGACAATTTTGGCTTGCATACACACATTTAAGTACTCGATTCGAATTTAAATATCAAATTCAGATTCATAAACCTCTCTAACATAAAATTAACAAATAAGACTTTTTGACGAAAATGCGGACTTCTTTCTTAGGGAAGTTGATGAAGCTATCGTTTAATTTGATTTTTATTTCGATTTGTGTACAACTAAAGTTCATGTTCAAAAACAAACGTTTTCACTCTTCGCAAACAAAAAATTAACCCTTGGTTTTTAAAGTTAATTTCAAAACTCTTATATTTTTTAATTATTATGTAAGACTATCAAGAGCAACAAAATAATTATAAATTTAGGTAAATAAAAAGAGAAATTATAGTATAGTACGATTTAGTTCAATTTAGTTTTTCAAAAAATTATTTTTATTATATACTATAATAACAAGTTATTATTTCATTAGTATCTCTAATATTAATACATACACAAATTGGATAATCAATATAATTTATACATGCTATTTATTCATAATACAGTTCATATTTGATAGAACAACTATTAATTTTGATAGTTCAATTTTTTTTTGAGTTGCTAAATATATTTCTGATTATAATGTTTTATTATCTAATTCTTCGTTATTACATTTTATAACAACAGCAAAATCCTTTTCGTGGAAACATTTCTTAAAGTTAGCTTGGTAGGCACGTCGATTTTTCAAAAGGGCTTGGAAAAATATAATGCAGTACGAATCGAATCTTTGACATTTTTCTATAAATTCAAGCACTTCTGTGAAAAATTTGGTTGTTATTATTATCCATTCTAAATCATCTTCTTGAGAAATTAAACTTCGGCATATTTTTGATTGTCGATTGTTATTGCATATGGTTTCATATATTGGTCCATGTGTAAAGTCAGAATTTGATACGGTATGGTTACGTGGTTTTGCATTTGAAATTGTTGATGTTTTTCTTCTCAAAACCTATTTAAATAAAATAAATAAATAAATGAATAAAATATTATTAGAAATCTTGATTGGTTTACAAATCTTACTTTGGTACCCGCATTTTGTTTTTTTGCCAGAGCTGAAATTTATAAAATTATTTAAAGGATGTAATCAGATATTTCAAAATTTAATATAATATATTGTTCATTGGTTTGACTTACCCGCAACACTGAGAAATATTATAATAATTGTATTTATTTTCATATCTTAAAAACTTTTCACTGCTTCATTACATTTTATTAAAATCTTTATTGATAATATTATAAAATAGATATTAATGGTACAACACATTCTATTACCAGAATTTTTTGTACAATAAGGCAAAGTGGCGCAATATTCGAAAATCACTCGTAAAATTAATTGCCGGTGAATTTTTATGGTTATTTGTTAACCTCGAACATTATACATATCTATTATAATAATTAGTTTAATTACTAGTAAGTGGTTGGAGAATTAACTATAAAGGTATGAGTAAATGTTATAGCAATAGGTAATGATAAGTAAATATATTTATTTCCATTTGAATCATAAAATTGCTGAATCATATGGAATGAAATTTTGCATAAATAGAGAATTTACTCCTGTTTCATACTTTATCTATATTAGTATTTGCTAGAAATTTGGCAATATCACTTTTGCAAGAAAATGGAATTATCACTTTTTTTCATACTATGTGTTATATTAGGAGTCTCGGGTAATCTGTGTTATTTTAATTCGGTATTATTTTAATTTGATTTTCCCTTTTCAAATAAAAATTATACATTTCAGAAACTCAAGTAATTGGATTCAAAAACGCTAATACGAAGTTTGAAGTAAAGAAAACAAATCTAAGTGATTTCACTGAAGTAACTTATAGAAACACTTAACAAAAATTAAGTTTAACATATAGCTCAGTAATCTCATTTATATTTTATAGAAAAAAAATGACATGTATACAACTCGTTCCAGCAATATTATTGATAGTCCCAAAGTCGTCGAACCGCAGATCATATTCAGGACTTTGCAAGTTTATTGTCCAGAATATTCGAATCAGTATCCACACCTGATGAGAAACTATAGATTGAAAAATAGAGTTCTCAAGATGAGGTTTTTACGAGATTTCAACAAAATGATCCCAGAATTGTATACGTACGCCCATGATTTCACAAATAAATACGGCAAGGTAGCTTTCAATGATTTGCTAGTCGGTACAATAGTAAAAGTAATGCTGGACTTGGCGACTAAAACTAATGTTCAAAAACCAGATCATCAGGATTTAATTCTAGAAAAATCAATGGACAATATGAATGAAGCAGTTGGTTCGCATAGTTCAAATGACTTGGAAGGTAAAAAAATATACCGCAAACAAAGTCATGGCAACGGTAAACCTACCATAAAATTCCGAGATGTTGCATGCGAATTTTTAAGCTCTTTTCATAATATTACTCAAGAATGTAAAAATCAAAATTGTACGTCGCAAGTTGATCAGCTAAAAGAATATCGAAATTTAGTGGAGACCTCAACGAGATCTAACCACGATCATGACTACCTCGCAAATGCTGTCCAAAAATTTGCTAGTCAGTTAGAATCAATGGAAAATCTCGAAGATGACTCTAAGCAGGAAGCTGGAGAATTTAAGTTAATATTAACAGCTATCGCTGCAATTATGTTATTTTTGGTCTTATAAAATACTATATTATAAGACATTGATAATAAAAATTAAACTACATAATTGATCTAAGCTTGCAAAGTCAATAAAATTTACCAAAAAGATGCTATTTGATGATACTATGTCAATCTTATTATAATTGTACCAATATGGTTATATCTTCTAGAGGGTCTTCTAGCAATAGATGACACAAACATTTTTTTTTTTGATTTTTGAAAAATCATATCTAAATAACTTATGTACATATGATTTTTCAAAAAAAAAAAAATTAAAAAAAATGTATGTCATCTATTGCTAGAAGACCCTCTTGAACACCCCTGTATGTTCGGTGATTTTTGTATATTATGTTATTAAATATTATAATATTAAATTTATATAACTATGTAAATAAAAAATCAAATAAAATTGAATGCACTTCATTAATCAATATTTGAATTGTTTATTTATTTAATTAATATTTATGCATGTTATATATGTTTGTTTCGAATAAAAATGAGAAAAATAATTAATTTAAATTATAACTTAATGTAATAATACTATCATTAATATTTGTGATCTCATTCAAATAAAAAATATTAGCGCACACGTTCAACTGAGCGATTCACTAAACTTATTGAAATTTTTCGAGTAGATTTTTTTTTCATTTGCGTTTCTGTGAATTATGTTTTAACTTTTTGTCTTAAAAAAAGTGCAACTTTAATCTTTTATATGATGCCAAAATTATAATGTGCATGGTATCGTGCCTCAAAGCAAATTGCTGGAACTTCCCCGTACCGTAATTAAAAATCTTGGTACGAAACACATTATTAAAATTTCTATTCATCTTGCCAATTTTTTTTATATTAATAAGGTGTTCGGTAATATAAAAACAAATCAATTCGTACAATAAAAAACGAATTAGATTAATAATTATACAAATTAAATTTATACGTTTCGACACTTGATATATGTCATTATTCAGCAACTCATGGCAATTTTTATAAAATTTTAATTAATGTTAACACATCAAAATATATAAAACTCTACAAAAATAAAAGACCGATACCTAGTGATGCTTGATTTATCATTTACAAATTGGAACTATTAATAGTATTAATATCGATTATATATAATCCAAAATTTGAATTTGTTATAAAAATAAATACTTTTTTATCAAAATATCAATCACTTACACAAAAAAAGTTTATCTAAAGTTTTATCATAAAAAGGCAATGATATTGGAGCTTTGTAACAAATCAATATTATTGCTCATAATATTGTATTATTCCTTTATATCAATTATCATAATTAACTTTAAAAGCATTTTTATTACAACTAATTCTCCAAAAATGCATTTAGATACTAATGAATAACAATAAAAAATATTATATATGTATGTTGCATCACAATAAAAGTCAAAAATGTTTAGTATAAATAGTGCAAATAGATGTTTCAATTTTAAAGGAGCAATGGACAAAAAACTGGTGTTGGCTTTGTTTTCTTTGCTACTGGTGGCTGGTAAGATATAATATGAAATAAATAATAAAAATATTATATTTTTTTAATATTTTTGGATTACATGTTATTATAATATTATATCCAGTACATTTTTTTTTAAATATAATTTGAAACTTATTTAGAAATTCAAGCCCGTCGGCCTGGCAACCGATTCCATCAGAAACACAACCATGCAAAAGAAAAGCAGAATGAACAGAAAGTAATTTTTGACAAAGTTACGAGTTATTTCATTCAATATAAAATAACTAATTTCATTCATTATAGGCAATTGGTCAGTTTAAACAATTTGTCAATCCACCGCAAAAGTGTCTTACATCATTCCTGCAGAAATTTTGCCCAAATCAAGTAGACGACTCGAAGGACCACGACCATCAAAATGGAACAGCATCTAAATTTGCTGCAAAGATTCCGCTAGGTTTCCCAGAATTCCAAGGACTTTTATTAAGTTCTTTTAAACAAATGATTACTGAAGTCGCTACATTCGCTCATGGTTATTTAACTCAAAATAGCCAAGAATCATTTAATGAATTTGTAGTAAACACGACGACTAGTATTATGCTGAATTCGGGTGATCATTCAGATGATGAAGGGGGACCAGCAAAAAGGAAAAGAGTCATATTTGGCAGAGAAGGTGGAGACCAAGTATTTCAACCTGTGCAGCAAATCTGCAATTATATTGGAGTTCTTTACTCCATATCTGTACAATGCGTAGAACATGATTGCTCCTGGCATCCCGAGGAGTTAAAAAAACCAAAAGCTTTATTACCTCTAGTGAAATTTGGACATGACCATGAAGCAATCGCAAACGCTGTTCAACAACTTGCTGAAACATTAGAAGCAAATGCAGATCCTAAAGATGAAAATATGCTTTTATTAGCCAACGCTATTAGTCATTTGTTTGAAGATATTAACATATTGATGAACACACCTTCAGTAAATAATTATATATCTATCATCAACAATATTAATATTGCAATAGAAGCTGTTAATAATTGTACCAATGACGACACATGCTACAATAATTTATGTGACCAGTATGATTACGGTTACAATCAATATGATCACTATTATCCATATGAATACTATCCATATTATTATCCATATTATCCATATAAATAATAAACAGGCAATAGAGAATGATACAAAAAAATTCGGAAAAATAACTATAAATTGCTTGAATTAATTTTAGTTAATTATAAAAAATGATTTACTTAACTAAATTTATACACCTATACTATAAATGCTAGATAAATCTTACACAGGATTTTGAATGTAGTTTATCAAATTCAGAGAAATCAGTAGCATGAGTAGTCAACACAGTTTACTTCAACTTAGTTTTTATGTTAAATAATCAATTTATGAATATTTGTATTATTATTTAAAATAATTCACGCAAACGTGTTAATTCTATGTATATACAAAATGCTAATACAATAATTCTCAGCAAACTATTACTAAATGTTTTTCTTATATATTAAGTTAACTTTCATCCATCTCTTTCTGAATCGTTTGACTCCAATATAGAAAAAGTGTGTGGCAAAAATTTGCCCTTTAGTCGATGTTTTGTTGAAAACCTCTTTATTTTTTTTGTTATAATTTATTTTAGTTGATCAAGACAAACTATTTAATTAAATGGTAAATTGTGCTGTTAAATCTTTAATTGTAATTGTAAAAAATGTATTTTGACGACTTCAATAAATTTTCACACTGATATAGCTCTAATGGTCTTATAAAATCTAAGAGTTCAATTCGACGAATAGCCAATTAATAGCTATATTAAGTTATGACTATTTAGCAATAATTGAAAAATTTTATTTCCCAATTAGTAACAAGAGTACCAAATGCACACTTTTGAAAACGAATCATCATTATGACTGAGCTAAATTAATTGATTGACTATCATCTTATATTGAGAGATTAATATCTACATGTTAAAAAAATCCCATATTCTTCCCATCTTCTATTAGAAATGTATACCATCGTTTCGTGAAATACTTTCTTATCTTAACCAAGTTAATGAATGACATGACCGAGGTGCAAAAATGGCAAAGGGATGCCGATAAAATACGAGTTGCTTATACAGTTGGCGAGCGCTAATGCGCCGGCATCAAGATGAACGATTCATAGATACATTTATACAAAACCTCGATAAATCCAAGAAAGTAATAAAAACGAACATAAATGGAAGTAAGATAATATAATTATACAATTTTAATCACATAGACTGTTGAGCTTTTTTCTGTCGAACTTTATTAACGCCCCAGACCATTAAAATTAAATAGTTATTGTTAACTTAATGATAGAGAAGTTTGCTTTCACGAAACAAATCGACTTGCTAATATCATGTTGTATAGACTTTTGAAGTCATTCTTAATTGTTTGAGACCAAATTTGAAAAATATTTACATGTGTGTGTGTAAATGTAAGTCAATTCTTAACCTTTAAGCGATGTTTTCTCAAAAATGACTGCACCTATTTCATAAATTTAAAAGCTCTTACATGTAACTAAAGTCTAGTTACTAGACAGAAACTGCCTTTTAGCAGATTTGCGCAAAGATCGGCCAAATGTTTTTTTTTTGTAATAAGTAGAGAAGTGCGAAATTTTTCGTACCCGTTTTATTCAAAAAATTTGAATCTAACCAAAAGTTCTGAAACTGTCTGAAAGAAATTGATTGGAAATCGTGCTGATTAGCGTTTAGTGAACAATATCAGAGATGTTTCTTCATAGTTAAAAAGAAAATGATTTTATGAAACATATTGTGATAATAGAGAACATCTATGATGATGAACATATTAGAATATTACAGCCTTACGACAAGTCGTTTAATTTAATAAAAATCATCAAAGTCCTTTTTGTCCCATACCAACTCTGTTTTCTTAAAAATCACTCATAAATTAATATACTAAGTTCTTAGTGATTAAGCCGCTTATTTACACATGTTGGGAAGTTCAGGCAACTTGCCTTAAGGTAAAAATCCATTTTTTAGTTTAAATTAATGTTCAAAAAAGAAACTAATTTTGGTATTTATTAGATAAAATTCTAGAACTATTGTTTTTTTGTTCACACCCCCAATGACGGTTGTGTCAGGCATAAAATAGGTTAAAAACACTAGGATAAACAGCAAAATGGTTTAAAACGACATTTATTGTCGTTAATTAAAGTAATACGTAACACAACATAATATAAACAATTGAACAAATAGTATGAATAGAATGGAATCAAGCAGAATTTTTTAAACAAAGTTAACAAGAATTCTTTGTAATTTTTTTTCGCATTTTGAATATTTCTTTTCCTTTCTCTTTCGCATTTTGTTTTGGTTGAGATAATTTTTTTTAGCTGTTTAATCTTTACCCGAAAAGGATAACAAATACGACATGAACTCGTACATGCACCGCACACTTTTGAGAATAAATCATCATTAAACTAAGCCATATTATCTTAATAATCATATTTCATATTTCTTCCTTCAGACTGTAACTCAAAATTAGTACAATTTAGCTGTTGTGACAACTGTCACTATCGTACTCTGGCACAACCGTACCCAATCTTCCCTACATATTAAAGTAAAAAAGAACTTTCTTAATTGATTGAATTAAATTGAATTTGTCAAAATTATTTCGACTATTTAAAATTAAAATGACCATACGTCCATACGTCTTGGCCGGGACAGTCCCGATTTTCCGCCTTGCGTCCCGGCTTTTTTTTAAAAGCAATATTTGTCCCGGTTTTATGTATTTTGTCTCGGATTGTCCCGGATTTTTAAAATTGCTTTGATTGCCAATATTTTTTTAAATATATTTCAACTAGAAAATTTGAACTGAAGAAATGTTCGAACAAGTTTTTAAGTCACCAATACCTTCCCCCCCTCAGCTCTCATTAACATTCTAATCCGTCCCGGATTTCATGTAAAAAATATGGTATTTCGAATTCAAACTATCGTTTAGTTCCCGAGTCCAGCACGATGGCAATGTTAATATAAATCGGCAATAGAAACGGCCGCCGCGTCGTAAATGGGGCGGAATCAAGAATGACACCCCTCCAGGCCAATGAATAAAACACATTGCGAAAAGCTTTTAGATTCTCGGATTGATTAAAGTTAAACACGTGGCTCTGGTGTTTTAATTTACCGCGAAGTGGCTGTTATTCTTGAGGTGATTCGCAATACCTATATATTTTGATCTCGATACATAAGTTAAGCCTACTTATGCAGGGAGCGAAAGATATAGGGCAAGGCAGAAGGACGTTATAATATTAAGCTGCAGAGTAAATTCAAGGAGAACATTTGTGAAATAATATACTAACAAAAATAATAAACAAAAACTTACGTAAGTGCATGTTGGCAGCGCGCAAATATAGATCAGCACCAGGAGGACCATGACGAACCATTCTCGTCTTCTGCCCAAGGCGCGTGGGTACTCATCACAGAGAGCTGTGATCATTGCTTCTAATCCTCCAAAAGTGCTGTCCAAGCCCAAGGTAATCAGCATCAAAAAGAAGAGAATGGACCAAAAGACACTGCCTGACATGGTTGCTATAGCTTCGGGGTACACTATGAAAACTAAACCAGGGCCTTCCAAGCCAACTTGTTCGATCGATTTGTTTTGAACATGGGCCATGTACCTGGAAAAAAAGTATTATAAATCAATAAAAATTTAAAGCAGAAGCCAAAACACAGTTAAATATTCACTCTTGGTATCAAATTAGAAATTAGACAGAACCTGGTTAAATAATAAAAGCATAATTGGTAAAAAAAATATAGTACAAAACTTCAACATCTTTCGAACACCTTTCGCTTGATTTGTATACAGTAAAACTTTGTGAGATTGGGACTCAAGAATACGATTTCAATTTAAATCATCATTTATCTATTTCATTTCCAATGCGACAACATAGGTCAGTTCAAACTTTTTACCAGTTTTGATGTAATTGCAAATTACAAGATAAAAACATAATATTATTAATATTTAATTTATAATGGGATAAATGTAATCTTTGTTATTGAAATTAATTTACAAACTATTATATGACAACGTATCATTGGATATCTTCTTATACTCGTACATAAAAATGAATCGCAAAATGTGTTGGTAAGTGCATAACTCAGCAACGCCAGGACCAATTTGTTCAATTCTTTTTTTAAAATCTTCGTTGAAGTCCAAAGATGGTTCTTACGGCGAGAAAAAAATGAATAATTGCCGGGAAAACCCTAAAAACAGCCCTGTTCTTTTTCTCAAACAAACGTTTTCTAACTAAAACGTAGAATAAATTTGAGCTTTATTGCTATTATATAAAGTTATCACCTATTAAATTACAAGCACTCACTGTATACTCCTCCTAAACGATTATGCGGATTTTGATAAATCTTTCTGAAGTTTGTTAGGGAAATTTTCTAGGATGTATGTGATTATAAAGTACTGGGATGTATGTGCAAAATTGTAGAAATTAATGTGAAATATTGTAAAAAACGACATGCATTGAAACCAAATAAAAACTATGATCTTCCAAAAATTTCAATTCACATATAAATCTAGACAATATTAGAATATGTATAATTAACTTATGATTATGAATAAGAAAAATGAAATGTCTGATTGAATGATACACATATGAAGAGGATATGACAAATTAATTCACTTAAAATATGAAATTAAGTGTTAATCAGGGCAGATCCTATCTTTAATGCAGTGCATGCAAAATATACGAGTGCACGCCTTAGGGGGCGCCAACACAAGATTCGGGTATTAAATTTTCAATATAGTTTTTTTTCAATATATAATTTCTTTGCATCTTTTACTAATCTTTCCACAATATTTTTAAATTTCGTAAAAATTTCACTTTATAACAACAAATAGGAAAGTAAAGATGAATACATACAATTCGCCCTTCACGATATCGATTAGGAGAAGTTTAAGATGCAATTTTGGATATCTTAAATAATAAAAAATTAAATTAATTTAATCCAACATGATGTACCAGTGTTATGTTATGGTAATGGGTAGGTTAGACCGTTTAAAAGACTTCAATTTCCAATAAAATGTGGGAGTTGATACTCATCACTTTATTTAAAGCAATTCTGCATTTAACATAGTTCATGTTATAAATGTATATGCATTTTGGCGTGAAGAGTAATTTAAAAAACAATAAATATTATTTTTAGGTAAACGGCAAATAATAGTATATTATATTAAAAAATTGTAGACATGGGTACAGGACAACGTCTGTCGGGTCATCTAGTTATTTAATAAAAAAAATACAATTGATTACAGCTCTTGATATTGTCTAAATATTTAAATATTAATAAACCGAACCTAAAGATGTGTGTTCATTTAATTTTTTCACACAATATAAAGAACATAGCATCTTAGCATCGTAATAACTTCCAGCAATCGTTAAATCTTATTACTATAATAATGTGTATATTATTTAATATAAATTTTGCCATTAATTAAATACTGTATAAATATTAAAAATTATGAAACCAGACTTAAAGAAGTGTACCATGTAATATCTATGGATTTAATAATCCTTTTCATCAGAGACTTAAGAAGTGTAGAACTTACCCAAGTACTGAAAAGATAACAAATCCAGCCAAAAAGCTCGTAAGACAATTGATACTGCTCGTTAAAATAGCATCACGATAGCAGTTGTTGTTGAATTTATTATACGAAGACAATGCCAGCAGGGTGCCGAATCCTGGTCCCAGTGAAAAGAAGATTTGTGAGGCGGCGTCTATCCAGACCTTGAGAAGGATTTAAAACAATATACCTTCAGCTTTTGTTTTTAAAGAATTAAATAAATGTTTGGAGCTAACCTTTGAGTTTTGAAGTTTGTGCCACTCCGGAGTCAAATAGTAACGGATGCCTTCAGCGGCTCCTGGTAGAGATACACCACGGACGAGAAGGATTAGAAGAACTATATACGGTGCTAGAGCTGTTACCCAAACCACCTAATATTATAGAATAATAAATGAATATAGTATAATTATATAATTAATTATAAATCTACGACTCTTTAATGAAAAAAAAACTCTGGCAAAAAATCTCGTTCTCATTATAACAGTTTTCCAGAAATGTTTACATATTAATATAGAAATATGAGTAGGTATAAATCATTTGTTCGAAGTGTCATAATGAATTTCTAATATATTAAAAGAAGATGACTAAATAGTACTATCTACGGAACTAAATATTTCAGAATATAAAAAGAGAAATCACAAAATTCCTAGAATATCAATAAGAAGATCTTTCTATTATTATCAATGAATTAGAATGAAAAACAATCTAATGGAATGAAAAAAAAAATCTAATAGAATGTAAAGAAATACAAGATATCTATCAGTAGAATAAAACAGTCCTTCATTTTAACTATTTTTTATATGTAAATATAAATTATCGCTAGGTGGGCGGTCTTAAATTATTACTAAAAATATTTAATACAATATGTTAGCTAAGACAGTTGAACGTATTAATATTGAAATTTCAATTGGCTCATATGCAAAAACACATTTTTTTTTTTTAATTTTGGTGTCACATTGTCCTGAATGATTTGAAACATCAAATAAATTCACAAAGTTAGCAAATGGGATTTTCTTCGGAAAGTAAAAAATTAGAGAATTAGAATTATTAGAAACGCTTCTAGATCATTCTTCAAAAGATAGTCTTCATATTTAATTAGTTATATTTTCTATCTACAACAACAATTTTCTAATGTTTGTGATATTGCAAATGTAGTCTAATAAATTATATTTTTATTATATAAATGTATTATAATTCTTGAAGGTTTACGTGATTCTGTTACCGCAACATTTCAATCATTATTATTGGCTCGGTTCATTTCAGTAATTGAAGTTAAATCAGTTAATTTATGTATTTTTCCAGTAATTCGCATTTCAACTCTTCGTTGTTAAATTCATTGACTTGTGAGAATTTATAGTGATTGTCTCGTTGATTACTTCGCCTACTTTATGCCTTTATCAAACCGTGAAGCGAATTCAATATAATATACAATCGGAAACTTTTATCTTTAGAAAATAATTTATCGGCAATTATATGAAATTGTTCATTAAAGCAAATAACTGAATAACTTTATGCCGGTAATGAAATTTTATTTGTAATAGTTGGAGAAAAGTTGTAATGTATTTTATTTTCTTATTTGAAGTTTAATCTTGATAAAATTTCATTTCTTTTGTTTTTATATATTAACGTGCAAGAATTAAGTATTGCTCATATGCATGCAGTTATATTTTTAATAAAAAAAATATATCCTAGTATCACTTGATATT